CCCCGCCCGGTAGGCAGGCCCTGTGGGGTGCTGCCAGGCGGCGGGTCAGGGAGTGAGCTATGGACACCGCCTGCCTGCCGCTGGCCGCCGGCTGTGCCCCCCTGCAGGCGCCGGGCCCAAGCTCATCCGCCAGTGGGGCGTCTGCGCAGCCGCTGCGGCTCCCCGCTTGGGGGGTCCTCAGGCCGCGCTGGGGGCGCCCCGTCTCCAGCTGCCCCGCTGGGTGGCTGCTGACAGGCACAGGAAGGCCGCCAGGGTCTGCGGCCTGCGTCCCATGGATGAGGCAGGTTCTCGGGGACCGGCAGCGGCGGTGCGGGGCACAGAGGCTCCAGAACCTTCTTCCCTGGCCGGAAGGGGCCTCGCCAGGCTGGCCCGAGAGGCGGGAGCGCGGCTTGGGGTGGCTGAGGGCCTGCCCTGCCCTCAGCCGGGCTGTCCTGGGCTGGACGGCAGCTGCTGCTGGGCCCACCTGCGGGGGGCGGGACAGAGGCGAGGGTGCCCCTGGCCCGCACACAGTGGACCCTGTGCAGGCCGGGCCGGACGCCCCATGTCCGCAGCCGCCGAGCTGCCCCCCAGGACTCCGCTGTCCTTCCCCGGTCGCCCAGCCATGCTCCGGGCAGCCGGAGACCGGGGCTGCCCCTGGCAAGGCCGCCCCGCCCACCTCTGTGGGGGGTCTGGTGCCAGGCCAGCTTCAGTGGCCGGAGACGTGGCCTGCGGTGGGACAGCAGGCCGGACACGGGCTGCAGGAGGTGGCGAGTGGACCGGAAGTTCACACCCCGGGGCCCGCTCTGCGTGGCCGGCGTCTCCGCTCCCGGCAGCCTTGACCAGGCCTGGCGGGGCCCACGCTGCCCTCCTGCAGGCGGGAGCGACACGCCCCTGGGCTGCCCAGCGCCACTCGATGCCCACTCCAGGGCCGGGGCAGCTCTGCTGACTGCCCAGGCCGGAACCAGTGTGTTGGGTGAGGGGCGGAGTGAGCAGGTGGGTGTCCCTGCGCGGGGAACCCCAGGGGGCCGGCCCTGGGGGAGCCCCTGGCGAGGGCCCCGGGCTCCTCCCCACAGAGGGCAGCAGCACCCGCGGGGTGGGGCCCGCATTGGAGGCCTGGGGGTGCTTGACCTTGGCCCGGAGGCAGCCGGGCCTGGGCGGGGGAGGTGAGCGCGGCCACGGCTGACCCAGGCCCTGTCCAGAGCTTGGAGGTGGGGTGCCGCTGCGGGATGGGGTGGGGGACTCATCCTGCCCAGTGACCTCGACCTGCTCTCCAGCCCCTCTGGGCTTGGTCCCTCCGCGGCTCGGGCGGCCCCAGGCTGCTGGGCTGGTGGGGTGCTGGGGTGCTGGTCCGGGGTGTCCGGGGCT